AGAATCAAAAACCATGTATGATATATATTTGAATGAATTCAAATTGAATCACGGATATGGATTCTTGGTCTGAAATGTGAGGCCAGTGTGGAAGTGCCTTTCTGACCAGTACGCAGCTACTTCTCATGTTGCAAAAAGAAATTAGATTGTGCAGAAATCTAGCAGAAGCTGACTCTAATTTATTATTTGTACATGCATTTACCTAGTGAGATGCATGTATTGTCACTGCCAATAGTTTTAAGCCTTTTTCCAACACAGCACAATTTTGATTTTATAAATTGTGGTCTAAATTATGCTAAAATAAGCACTAAAGCAGAGTTTGGCTAATTTTTGACTGGCAGGTTGCTTTTGTGTGAGCGAGTGGCACCCTCGGTTCCTTAGTCAGATGCATCAGCTCACTTGTCATATCTGGTTTTAGAAAACAAGATGGCTTTAAATGCTCAAAACAGTCCATAAACTGATGGTTGATGGCAACACGGTTGCTATGTATGTTTCTTTCTTTTTTTACATAAATATGATTGTGTGATCCCTGCCAAGCCCTCAGGTTGCTCTACAGGGTCCTAAACTCTGCCCTCCTCACATAATAATCTAAATTTGTCACTGACTGCTGCAGCCCTGTATTTCTCATTTCTTTGTCTTTTTAATGTATATTCTTTCATTTCCTCTTGTTCTTGTTGTCTGTTCTGCACCTCCTGGGTTTGTCGTTTTCCATTTTGATTGTATTTCTCTCTCTATCTTTTTTGCTGATTATATAGCTTGATTTTACTACTTTATTTTCTGCTCTCTGATTATTGTCTCCTTGCACAGCTCGGTCTTGTAATTAATTGTCCATTCTTTGCCCGCTGGGGAAAAGTCTCACAGTTTCTGTTTTTTATTGCGGTTTTTGAACCTTTCTGTAACTCTCTCTTTGTCTGCGTCTTGGTGTTCCTCTCTCTCTCTCACTCTCGCAGCCCACTGCCTCTTTGTTTCCTGGCAGACAGCAGCAGATTGCAGGCTGGATAGGCCATGTGGGTGTTTAGCATGGCACACAGAGCTGAGGGCCATAGACAATGTCTGCATGTACAAATTTAATTGGATATATTATTTGCACGCATGCACATGCACACAAACACACACACTCACATATGCACACACTTTGCTTCCCACGCTTGCATTTTTAACAGCGTCCACTCACGAAATTGAAAAGACATATGTTAGACTCTGCACTGAGGCAAACAAGCAGATGTAACAATACCTAACTGGACCAACAGGCCTGACAGAAAGATGGACGTGTAGATAGAAAGCTTACAGAATGTCTTGTATGCCGGTGCTATTATCACATTCATGCAGCACAGGAGCAGATTAGTGTTTTAGTGGAGACAGCATAACAAATGATGGGCAAAGGGCTGTTTTTTACCCAGCTTACATAACAGATTCATTTTATTCATCCCGATGAAGACCACATCATGACTCCTCTCCCTTCCCCTGTGCCTCCCTCCATAGTATTTAGCATGTGTGTAGTATATTATAAATGGCTCATTCGGAAGAGAGTCGGGGTTAATCAGTTCTGACGTGGAGCTTGTTTGTACCTGCAGCTGTGATTACAGCACAACAGCTCAGCTTATTGAGAAGTAGAATAGAAATAAAAAATTGAAGCTTGTATTTTGCCAAAGTGTTCCTGCAGTCTGTCACTAATAAAAGATAAAAGTGTAAAGTGGGAGGTCATTGCTGAAACACTCTGTTATTGTTACTCTGCAGTAATTCAGCGTGATTTTCACTGACCGTTGTTGGGGAGTGGCACAAATTGTATTTTTTTCTCCTCTAGTGCGACAACTTTAAAAAAATATATAGATTGAACAGAGTTCAATCTCTTGGCAGGTTGAAATAATAAGTTTTATATAACCTCTGTAAATTGTGTCAATATACTAGATTGGCCTAAGGGTTTTTGCTTATGGTGTTTATTTTTTGATTTATTTATAATTTTCTTTTTATTGAAGTGGATTGTTTTAATGCACGCCGCAGTGCCAGCTGCATGTCACACCATAGCAACACTGAAAAGGATCACAAGCTGTTGTATAAAAAAAACACCCTACACATTTTCATTGTGATAAACCCATCCATCCATCCAGCCACCCATCCGCAGCAGCAGAAGGCTAAGGAGAGTATTCCAGACGTCCCGATGACCTTATAACCACAGCTCCTGCAAGCAGTGTGGGTCTTGACCATGACTCATTTGTCCCCAGCCTCTCCCAGGATGCAAAAGAAATAATGCTGGACATGGGAGTTTAAGACCTTTCGTTCACAGGCTTCTGCCAGATGTTCACTTTTTGTTTGGCTTTGCTGTCCGTGAGCCTTCTCTCCACCATCTGGTCCAACTCACAACTAGGTGGTGGTCAGTTAATACCTCCACTCCTTTCTTCATCTGAGTGTCCAAGACAAAAAAGTAAATCACTGTTTTTCGACCTAAGCAAATACACGTAAGAGCCACCTTATATGCAAACATGGTGTTTGTAAAGGCCAGCCCATGCCTAGCATAGAAGTCCAAAAATGAACCAACACTCTGCTTTAGATCACTATGCAGTTCCTTTCCAAGAAAATGGAAAAACACCACAATGATGATGTACAGCGGGGGCTTGTAAGTGTCCCCACACCAGCATGGGCCAGTCTTGAAAAGGAGAGACCTGCTTTTCTCCAGAATCCTGGAGAAAAGCTAGATATCACTGTGTGCACCGGTGCACACAATGATATCTAGTCCCATCCTGCGCTAGCTCAGGTCCTCGTTGAAGAGGTGACATTCCGCATCTCAAAAATGAGTCTGCAATCCTGAGGGTCCACAGGTCCAGGCCCCTTCCTTTGCCTGTCCCCATGGGCACTGGACCCACAGGGTTGCAAATCCATGTTATTTTTTGTGCCTGACCAAACCCCATGAGCACAGGCCTGGTGGTGATTGTGCTAAACCGTGTAAATAAAACTGAAATGCAAAACTACTGCACTGTCTAGTTGTTTGTCAAGGCAAAGATTCAGATTCTGTCTTTAAATGTCTTTTTAAAAAAGTAAGTGGGAGAGAATCAGAGCAGAGGTAAAAACCACACAGCATCATCTACACTAGCTCCAGCTACCTTAGAAACATCCACTTTTTTCCAGCTTCCTTAATCAAAAGAATATTTCATTGTAAGCAAAATATCATAACTTATATGTCTTATAGACTACTTAATTAAGTTAACAAGCTTCAAGCATTTTTTCTTCTGTGGTGGTGCAGTTTAATCTAACATTTCATTATTCATCATCACTTCCCTTTAATTCTTTAGCGATCATTAAAAATGACATAAATTCATCGACCTATCCTTTTTGCTTTATTTTTTTCTCTTTTCTTTCCACCGGCCAAAGCAGAATACATAAATAGACATGACAAATAAATAAAATTTCATCTTAATGGAACTTTAAAACCAAATAATAAATGTGCTCAAAAGCCCAAAAAGAAAAACCAT